TTTTTCCAAGTGTTGAGAATAAATAATTCTGTTTTCCTTCTATCTCTTTTAGCTTGTTGCTAAGCTGAAGCTAAAGGAAATGGCATGTTAGGTAACACAAATCAGAGCTAAGGTTAAAGGATATGACACACTAGGGAACGCCCTCTTTAGGGCGTAGCTTAGACAGAGGCTAACAAAGGAGATCGCAAAGTGTTCTTGGTTGCCATTTTGTCCTGCAAGCTCCTAAAGGTAGCATGTGAAATGGACCAGCTGTATTTTGGTATTAATAACTGGAATCATGGATTCAACTCACCGACTCTTTTTCAACCTCATACATATCAAGAACTCAGCCTGGAGAAGGGATGATTCTCCACACAAGCAACTGAAAAACCTGACATTTTGACGTTTAAGGATGGCTTAATGACTTTACAACTTCAGGACCACGACCGACCAATGGACCAGGTTACAATGTACTGCAAAGAACATTTTCATCCAGCCAGTAGACTTAAATGCATGGAGTTACAGATTACAGATTATGATGCTCATTTCAAATGTTTCAGTGTAAAGCTCCTATTCATTTTATACATTTTCATTTTATACATTCTATGCATTTTCAGTGCAGAAATATCTTAACTCTTGTTTGCTTAGAAATAAAATGCAACAGTCTTGTGCAAGACAAGTTAGTGTTGCATCTGTAGCACTGTGTTTTTGATTTTGTTTCATGCACACCATCACATCCCAGCCCATTCCTTATGACCACACTGAAGCCTCTGCAGGCAGCAGAAGGCTAGGCCAACAAATCCCCAGAAGCACCTACTTTCTTTACATTCTCTTTGAAAACCCAGTTCACTTCTTATTGTCTTTTTTTTTCTTCCTTGCATTAAAATACAGCTTTGTGGCTGGCACAGAGCTCATTGTCTGCCTTTCTTTGAACAGCTTGCTCGCCCTGGGCTTGTCCTCAGTTATTATTTTTTCTTCTTTTCTTTTCTTTTTTTCCCCCTGCCTTTCTTTACAGAAATGACAAGCAGGTTGCTGTTTCTGAACAGGCTCCAACACATCAATCCCTTGAGGAAAGTGGGCCAGTAAAGGACCATCTAAACAGACATGAGGAATCTCATACATGCTTCAGACAGATGTGAAAATATAGAACAATCTTCGTGTAACCACTTCTTAATATATACTCAAAAATGTTTCTTGTTTACAATCCATCTTTAATGTCACATTCCCGCCACTTAATAATGTCACAGACCTCCAAGATTCAATAAATGGGTTTTGGGAAACACGGCCGTTGGGGTAATTTATCTGCAGAGCAGTACTGATGGAGAAGTCCTGCAGGTGATAAATCCTAACTGGTTGTTACAGCATAAAATGATAATGGCGCTGGTGTAGCTTTCTGCTCGGCATCCCAAAACACATTTACAGGGCAGCTCACTCAGCTCTTAAAACGTGGCCTGACACAGCAGTATGTAAATATGTGTCTTGGTAGGTTGTTACATCATGCCAAACGTAAAAACGGAGCCAGTGTAAATAACGCACAGGCGGATGTGCTTGGATTTTAAAAGAGGCAATGTTTTGTGTACAGTGAGCGTGATGAGCCCTTCATCATCTTCAGAGCACAAACTAAAATAACTAATTCATTAAGGTGATTGGCCCACCAGAAAATCAATGAGCCACAGTTTTAATAATTACTTAATCAGAGTCATTAGATGAAAATACCAGAATGCCCGCTCTGCATTTGTATGACGAAGAAAATTAGCAGAAATGAACACAAGTCCATTTTTGCAGAGTTTCACAATACTTTGTGAGAGGGTTCGTCAGAGGTTATTAAGAGTCACAATTAGGACGTTAAGTCTTCACATCTGTCGGTCTACTTAGTCGACTTAGTGTTAATTTTGGAAACAGTGAATTGTCCATGCTTTTTAAAGACACATGCTTTGCTTAAATTGAGCGTAACCTGACGTCAATTATTTGGTTTCAATCATTAACTTTTTGCCAACCGACTTACTTTCTTTCGCATTTTCTAGGTGTTTGGAAAACATCACACACTCAGGAAACCCACAATGCATTTCTTATAAAGGGAAAACATAATCTTAAAACACTACAACTTTATCCCTGACATGTTTGCTGTTTTCCTTTTGCGTCGTGTTGTTATTTTATCACATAAAATGTTTCTTACTATTATCAAATTACAGTTCGGCAAGTTAGTTGATTTTATTCACTAACATGCCTTCAGAAGGCAGATGGTTGCACTGCAAGTTAGTTAGAGGTATCAGATTAAAAGTAGCTGAACACAAATGAACATCACCATTTAAACGCTCACTTTCCAAACTCTTTAGCCCCTGCAGAATTTTTGGCAGGATACCAAAATATAAAACATGCAGCATTCCAATCACTGGATAAACTGCTCATTCACAGAGGGTTTTTTTTTTTCTGCTGTGAAACAATTGTATCAATTTTTTGCAAGCTCAAACTTGCCTATTCAACACATCCCCACATTCCACAAGCTTCAACAGCTGGCAAAAAGACATTTATTCTGCAGGGGGATTACTTACAATTAAATCATAAAACTAAGCCACTGAGAACATTCTCTTTTTCGCTCAGCAGTCAGGCTGCTGAATCCGCACCGCCTTCTGATTCCGTCTCGACGGGCAATGACCTTGACGGAGTAAAGCGACAAGTCAGCATTACGGCACACGGACACTGATCCCGGCTGCTCAAACCCTCTCACCGGTCTGCCACCGATGTATCTGTATCTGTCTGCAATCGCTTTTTAATAGAGCCACAGCAGCAGGTAGAAGCCACAGGTCTCCACATAGATGGCAGTGGGTGCCATTTTTGGTGTGATTTCCCTAATGGGACACAGTCCATTCCTGACTCGGAGTATAATGGTGTGGCCCGACAGGGGGGGAACTACAGAGAGAAGTCCAGCAGCTTCCCTGAATGCCTGTGACTCATTTATATTGGCAGAGCTGGTCGGATTATTCCAATTAGCTCCCAAAAAGAAGGGTGGGGAGGGAGCCCCCATGCTGAGGCTGTCGCAGAACGAAGGGGTAAAACCAAGCACACAGCTGCTTTGAAGGTTAGCTGCTGTAAGAACGTCTCTTTTCATCTCGGTGTGCAAAAACAAACTTTGGAGGGGAAAAAATTTGCGATGACAATGATTGCGAAGAAGAGCAGCGTTTGCAAAGAGAAAACCATTTCATTATTAACGAGTACACCAACTGAAACGGGAGAGCGTCAAACAGATTATTGCCCGGCATTGTAATGGTTTGCATGATAGAAAGCAGTTACACACATTACTGTTAATATGCATCGCATGTGATTTCTAATGAACGCTCTAATTCTTCCTTAAAAGCCCAAGCTTGTTGTTAACACAAACCGGGAGGATTGTTAGGGGAAGGAAATCTGCAATTCGAGAATTAAATTAGACACAGCAAATTAACACTATCAGCAGTTCTGTTTTTAACGGTGGCTCTGGGATCAAATTAGATTCATAAGAAACAAGTGAAAATAATGGTTGTTGAGGGGATATTGTGAGGTAAACAGAAGCCAATGTCTAAATGAATGCTAACCAGCAGAATCCAATTCTATAGCTGATTGCCTCATAACCCAGCAGAAGCAAGCAGTGAAGGATGGAGTGAGCCACGCAAATAGAGGAGATGCAAGAAATAATAGCCACTCATCTATTCATGGTAATTGTGTTTCCCTGTACGACAAGAACTGGTGGACCTTTCATTTGCTCCTCCGGCAATTGATGTGATCGGCGAACGAGCGGGTTTCGGGTTTTCAGAGAGGGAGTAAGCGGGCTGTGTCATCTGCGGTCTCTCCAAATGGCTGCTCAGGCTGAGACCTCCAGGTTTTAGGCTAGAAGGTGTTCATCAGTCATGCAACACCACACCGATCTTCGACAGGTAGAATTAGTGTGTCTAATCTGATATTAGGCATGACATTAGGAAGTATCAAAACTGCTACAAAACATGAGCAGTGATGCAGAAAGTCCGCATGACTGTCATTATTCTGGTAGCATCTGGTGTTGCTTTCTAACCTCAACTTTGATGGTGTTTGCCTTTTTTACACATGACTGCCTTATAAAGAGTCCTGTCCTATACTTTAAGATGTGTCAGCTGAAACTCCCCAGAATCAAACAATTAGGTCATAATAAGACTCTGCAGGGCTTGACTGTATGCTGCAGTCAAGCTGTTTGATTCAGCTGTGCTGGACCATGAACACACATAAAAGCCGCTGGACACCAGCCCTTCAGGACTTGAGTTTCTGACCACTGCATTAAACCAAAGTAAGTGACTCCACTCCTACTACTAGAAGCACCACAGCTGCCAACAATACTTTTGCATTAAGCATTGCGGTCTGCTACAACTCCGTAAGGAACACGTAGAAAATATCCCCAAAGACTGGAACCATGGGCCTTTTTTTCTTTTTCCATATTTTCCTAGAGGTAGCAGAACAGAACAGGATTGGGCTGAAACAAACACAGTTAGTAGTGATCTAAAAACAAACAAAAATGGATTTTATCATGAGAAATGTAGGAAATCAGTACGGTCAACTATAAAATCTGAACCGTCTGCAGATAGTGCATGCGGGTCACTGAATACGTACAGTACGCCAGAGTAGAATCAAGATGGAAGAAGGATTACAACTGTGTGAAAGTTCTGTGCATGTCCTTCATGTTCATTCAACACGGCGTGTTTTCTTAATGTAGATCAAACTGACTAAAGAGTAACCCCTTCCTAAAACATTAATTAAACAACACCTGTTGTAGTGTTATTAGTAGGAGACTTTTGTCCTGCACAGCACATCAGTGAAGTGCAGTGTGTGAGAGCACTCTTACCTGCTGGAGTAAAACTTTCTCTTTAGAATATAAAGTTACTTTACATAAATTAATTTTGCGTTTTACACACGAGCACAACAAAAGATTTGGGACTCTTTGGATCTTGTAAGAAGAATTAGTTGCAGTATTCTGGTATTTGCCACGTCAGAATATGAATCTGAATTGCGGCACCCACCTGTTCCAAGATGGTATCGATGCGGTCCACCTCGCAGTCGATCACATAGCGCTTCTCCTGCCTCCTGTCCATCTCTTCAATGACCTGCTTGAACTCTGTTGCGTTCGTTGTGCTGCTGACAGAGCGAGCAGTCACCTGCCAGTTGTTGGCCACTGCCGCCTCCATGATAGCCTGCAGGATGGAAAAACCTGGAGAGGAAGACAGGATGACTCAGTGGATTGAAAGAAAAAAAAAACGCAGTTGGGGTCAAAGAAATAATTATGCAAGGGCAGCCTGACTTCTGAAATATTCTGGTGGTTAATGGAGGTTAAAAGGCCATCTCATTAAATTAAAAGTATTTGGACTTCTGCAGGGCCTAAATATTGTCTATTGTTTGGACAATTTGTGTGCAAAGTTGTACCGAATTTTATGTGCATGAAAAGGGATTGTATTTCCACATCATTGAAAGATCAGTAAGTGGTTTTATTGCACTTGGCGTCTATTAAAAGATGGCATTTAGCTCAGCCACATGTTGACTTTGACGTTCCTGTGAAACACTCTGCCGTGTCCCTTGTCTCCTCGGAGGATTGTGCCTGAGCATTTAAAGATAAAGACAATAAAAGATTCATCCAGGCCAGTGTTAAAGAGAGAGAGAGAGAGAGATCATTATGCTATGAGAAGAATGGGGAATGAGCCCTTCTAATGATTAATTCACACGTGAAATATTTTCATTTAACAGTGCGCTTAGAAACACTGCGGTCAAATCACACGCCACAGAATGAATAATGTAGCCCTAATTCTGGGGCGATGAATTGCATGTAGCACAAGCTGGAATAAAAATGGCTTAACTCATCTCCAGTGTTGAACAAGTGACAATGAACATGAAGGTTATTCATGAAAATCAAACACACTGCTGGTAATTCATTAAAAACCAAGGACAGTGAAATTGCAAATTGAATGTCAAATAAGCCTCTATTCAGTACCTCCGTTCATTTTTCATAGTTTGACATGTGGGTGACTATTACAGAAAGGGGCAGGGGGGAGAAAAAAGTGTGGAACAATACCAAATTTCTGGCTTGCACATATAGATTTTAAATCATGATTTATATAGTTTGGTATGAGACGATAGGCTGTGTACAAAGTAAGCACTTGTCTTTTTTTTTTTTTTACTCCTGTAAGCACTTTCTCTGGGCAAGCAGATCTCCACATTGACGGTGAAAAATGTTAAAGAAAGAAGAAAATAGAACAAATCAAAACAAATAATGTTAAATGTCCTGGTCAAGAAGGTTGAGGCTTGGGATTGCTATGAGCCTAATCCAAACTGTGTCATCACTAAAGGTAAAGGGTCGTGCTGCCTGGAGACTGAAGGGACGACCAGATTGGCAGGTTTTCAGGCTGAATTGATCAGTACTTGTTGTGCAACACATTGTTGTGTTTACTGCAGCCCTGGGCAATTAAAAGCCCTGGTGAGTTTGTAGTACAAGTGAAAATCCCATTATTTTGTTTTGGGGTTTTTTGCACAAAATGTGGCTTTTATGTTAAAAGGCACCATAGCTTCCTTAACCCTTGTGTTTACCAAATGGGGTCCAACCGACCCCACACGCGTAAAACTTGCATCATTTGCCTCAGTCATCGCACACACAAGGGCCAATATCATAGCTGCGTTGATGTGCCTCATCAGATGGGTGGAACAGCTTTCAAGAAGTTAGCTCTGAAAAATTCATACATGCATAGTTTTCAACAAGGTATAGACATCTATGTATTTTTCTGCCGGAATTTACCATAAATTTGCAGAATTTACAAAAATCATGTGCATAACAGCAGATAGAAAAAGCCGAAAACAATCAAGAATCACCAACATTACGACGGATTACAGAGGCTAAGTGGAAAAAATTTCCACAGCAAAATATCTGTATAAATTATACCCCCAAAAATTTGACTGGTGGCTAAATGTCTTCCAGAGGATCAAATAAACTTAATGAGCATAAAAATGTTGAAGATAGTGGGGGTTTTTTCTCACATACAACACAATTTGTACATATAAATGAAAGAGAAAATTAAAAGTAAAGCAAAAAGAAAAATATAGAGTTTAATATGATTTTAACATGACCAGCCAATGTAGCTCGTCTGCTATAGTTTCTCAGAACTCATCCGCCTAAAGCCGAAGTGACAGCATGCAGGTTTGAAGAACATGGATGCATTATTCATTGAAGACATGCGCTCTGAACCTCACCAATCATCAGCCAGCTGAACAGCATGGCAGTTTTCCCAGCAGTAAAAGCTTCTCACGTTAGGAGGCGTCATGCAGATTAACTGGGTCAAAATGGTCTCTGTTGGTTTGGAAATGTTTAAGAAAGCTCGGCAAGGTAGAAAATGTCAGTGAGCCATTCAGCACGCTGTAATCACCTCGGCGGTATGACATGATAAAAAGATGTGAGTTGATGTTTGTTGTGGATTTACAGGTATCTGATGGTTGTAGCTGTGCAGCTTGACAGGCAATATTATGTATCTCAGAACCTTAAGGAATAAAAGACAAAAAGACTCTCATGGGAATGCGGAGAGGATTTTTGGCTTATTTTATTCAAGTGTCAATGGTGGAAAATATATAATGTTATTTTGTATGAAGTTGGAGGTGCCAAAGAAATAAATATAAAAAAAATAAAAAAAAAAGTCTCCAGTATGAAAGAATGAAACACAATCAGATTCAAATCATGGAGGCCTTTTATTTTGAAATTGCTGATTTGTACAGCATTTGTCTCCTCGCTGCCGCTGGCAAACGCGGATCTGCTCAGGAACAATTGGATTCATTTAAGATTCACAGAAGATTCCATGCCTGCAGAGTTTTACATTTGTATGGAAATGAAGAGATGGAATCTGGTGGCAGTAAATAGTCTGTCCGGAGAAGGATTATTTCTGCTCTTATTCTTTTTTCCTCCCAAGTCAGCAGAAAAGTTTGTGTTTTGTGATTTTGACTTAAAAATCTACACAGAACTGAAACTTTTTTTCATGATAGATAATGCATTTTTTCACTAGCATCAATACCTATTTTACCATTGTTAAATGGACCTACAGGCTTAAATGCATTTTATTGGGACTTTATGTGATAGACCAACACAAAGTACCTCATAATCTTGAGGTAAATGGATGAAAATATCCATTATTTTCACTTGGGTTACATATGAAAAACAAACAAAAAAAAAAGAATTAAAAATCTGGCATGAATTTGTATTCAGCCTCCCTGAATCCAAATTTTGTAGAATCAACATAGATTGAGCCAGAATATTATTTCATTCTTCTAAATAGCTTTGGTAGGCCTCATAAATTATCTTAAGCAAGTATGTTTTGATTTAAATCCTTCCACCGTTGCTCTAGTTGAATGGTTAGGAGCAGAGTCCTGCTCAAAGGTTACATTTTAGGACGACGGATTGAACAGCGCTCTGGGGTATTTTCTAAGCTTGAGATAATGTTTTAAACACCGACTCTGTTTTAGATTTCTTTCCATCCCTGCCCTCTCTGTTGTGTTCATCAACATCATTTATATTGAAATTAAATTAAATTACCTGTGGATTGTAAATATTCGGTTCAAGTTTAACTGCTTTGTGTTAGTCTATTAAAATCAAAACCGTTTAAGGAAAAGTTCACTTGCAATTAAGCCTTGTCTATGCTTTTAGAACAGAGTCGAGGCAGTCACTATTTTTGCAGATGGAGGAAGTTTGATCCTCAGCTTGTATAAAATTTCATCCTTCTAAGCCACTCTAGTGGGCCTCATAAATGCTCTTGATAGTGGTATTTATTTACAACATGGGGAAAAAAAGAAGTTGTAAATAAATGCAAGTCTTTGCCAGGAACTCCACAGCTGTGCTGCATCTGAAAATATAACACAGTCAACTACATAAATTATGGAAGACAACAGTTTCCTTATCACCTCCTATAAATTGCTGCACTACAAATGCAACAGCGTGCAGCAGCTTCTGCTGATCAAGCTTCTCAGTACTAATCATAGCATGGAGACAAGAGTATATCTCTATAAATCCATTTTCATTACCTCTCATTGTGATCGCTCTTGCCTTTGGTACAACATTTCTGGGAGGAATGTCTTCCACGCATCCGCTTTAGGCATCTCAAATAGTGAGGCAATGTCACAGTGACCTCCTCTCATGCTTCATTTTGGTTCTGATAAAACACACAAGTGTTTCTGCAACATAACGTTGCCAGGATACAGAGCAAAAGTAAAGGTTAACTTTGATGTCTGCGATTGAGTTTGGAAAAGAAAGCACTTGCTCACACGCTGCTGAGGCTGAAACATGGATGGGTTAGATGTACATCTAAATGTTCGACAGAGTAAAAGGAGCTTGTAAAACATTTTCCTTTTTGTATTCAGCTGCAGTATTTATCTTTACAAAAGCGTATGTTCGGGCTGAGTTGCACAGTCTGCAGTTGGGGTGAATGTATGACTCAGAGCTAATACGAAGGAACCAAGCTGAGAGACAAGTGATGTCAGTGCCAAAGGCATAACTAATGGCAGAGAGACTTTGTTGGACAAAAGTTTGTTTCTGAACATGTAAATGGGCTGTTTTCATGCCTGAACAGGGTGTTAAGTTGCTTTTTAATCTCCAAATGCTCTCTTGGAACAACTGTACAGTTTGTGGAGCAGTGCATAAACAGCTGCATTGGATAAAAACTCAATTATTCCGACATTTTGCTGCTATCAAATCCAGATGGGTCCTAAAGACACTGTGTGTGCTTATAAAAGCAGAGCTGCTGCGAATGAGACGTTGCAGCAGCGCAGCGTAGAGTGGCTGAGCGAGAGCTGCAGCCCTCTCCTTCGTCTCCGAACCGGTTCCTAACAGGATGAGTTTTGAAGCGTCACCCGTGGAGGCTCAGCAGTAATTGAATTGAGTTGCATCTAATCTCATTGCCCAGCTTCTTTGGTTGCCTGACTCTCATTAGGCTTCATTGCTAGACCTCCATCTCGCTTTCTTTCCCCCCCTCACTCTCCTCCTCTCATATCTTGCAGCCAATCTGCACGAACTCTGTAATTCAAAGAAATACTCTAATCCCTCTAAATCAAGCACCTTAGCATTAGCTGAAACATGGCTTTCAGCTTCAGAACCACAACACTAGCTACTCATTTCACATTATTGTGTTATTGCTTGCCTTTCAGTAATCTTAACCCTAAATCTAATAATGTAATGAAACAGCTAAGAAA